ATTATTAAACTAGTTTTAGTTTCACAAGATAAAGCTAGTATGAAAGAGCAAATGTCTGCCTGAGGACTAGTGACTATTTTCAAAATCAGTTTAGTATGTGTAGTCAACAAACACCAAAATGTATTTATTCATGTAAGAGTTGTTGCACTATCTTAGTCAAATGATATAAATTTTGAACTTTTTTTTTTACTTGGAAAAATTAAAAACTTTAAAAAACCCAACAACTTTATTTGCTGAGTTTTGATGCTTTGTGGTATATATTTTACTATGATCATATTTTTTCATGGGTCTTTGTCACTGTTTTAAGATAGGTTTGTTTCATTTCTTAGGTGGCACATGGGGGATTTTCCTTTTCTTCTTTTGTGCAGTCTATTTATTTTGTTTTGTTCTTATAACTACAAAAGTCCATGGTGAAGCTCAAAACCAAACTACTATCGCTTCTGTCCTTGAGCTCACATTACCTGTTTGATTGCCTAGTGGCACAGGGATGGACTCCAAGGTTTCTTACCAGCCTCTTTTTCTTTAAATGAGGCTCATTCACATTCTTGAATGAAGTGTTATTGGAATGCATTGTGGATGTTGACAGCATTGCAATAACAAGAAAACCCAGTCAAACAGTCAAATCTCTGTAAATTTTTATTTGTACTGTACCAGTAATAGGGGGGAAAAAATGAGACAAAATAATAACTGGTAATTAGATGGTTTTCCACAGATGTGTATCTTGACTGCCAGCTCCACTTCCTACAACATATTTTATATATTGCAAATTTAATGAAAACCTAGAAATTTTGATAAGCTGTGCACCTTTGTTTTTCCAGATACATGAACATTTGAATTACTTTATTTACATGTAATTCTGCATGTAAACTGCTGATTGCATGCTGATTTACAGTAAATAAAGGTAAATAGGGGTCACTGAGTTGTTTTATACATCACAGTGTCACTGTTCTTGCATGTTTTTTATCTTGCATGACAATGGAATATGTTTGTATTAGTCTATGTATAGCATGTCTTGTGGTTTATGCATGCTGCACTAATCTGTGTTAAATCTGTCCCCTCTTTATTCAGAGCATGCTGTCTAGGTCCTTTAATTCCAATTATGCTGCAGTTAGCAGCTTTCACTATGGCAGCTCTAGGGATCTGCATGGCAGCCAGGGTAGTGTTGCCTTGAGTGTTGCAGACAGAAGAGGTTCTGGTGTGCACATTGTTCGAGTGAGTACCTACAGGAGGCTATTGCAATGTATAGAGGGGGAAAGAATAAACTGTGAGAGGTGTCCTTAAATTGACAGAGTTATCCTTTTACATACGGACAATGCTTTCAATAAAAAGAATGTAAATTATGTGCTGGAATTTTTTTATAGGCATTAAATCCAATACTTTGCCTTCACTTCATATGCCTTAAACTTATTGCAAGGCTTTTCAATTTAATGTCATGAAGTTGAGTTTTCTGATTGGCTCTTATAGATGGCTGAACATATATAAGACTGTCTGGTTTCATTGTACATATGTGAACAAGAGATTACCATTCTGAATTTAACCTAGGTTGATAAAGGTTTGAACAAAATCTTATTATGCTTTTGCCTCCCCCAAACAAATTCTGATGATGTAAACTGTACTGTAAGATACTTCAGGCATTCAAGAAAATTAGTATTTCGGTTTGTAAGAAAATGCAAGGAAATTACTCTCTAACTCTGAGCGTCCTGAGTGATGTTATGGTATCCATAGTGAGCAGGATAAAGTCAACAAGACCTCTTTTAACCATATGAATCCCTGAATAGGCAGGCCATAGCATTTGTTGACTTTTCTGATCAGTTTGTTGGTGATCAAAGACACCTCTGCAGTTGCTAGTTTTTGTAACTATCCATCAATATTTTATGGGTGTGGTGTCTTGGCTAGTAAGATTTTCTACATAAACAATGTACTAGTTAATCAAAGAAGATAAAGAATGATAAAGCCCTTAAAATATTTTATTCTGGGCTTCTTATGAGAATTTTTTAGTTTGAGTTATATGAAGACGGTCGTCTTTACTGCTCCATTCTGTTTAAAGCATCCCCAGGCTTCTACTCCCGGAGACCAATGCCAGGATGAAGTATTCATTTCAGGACAGCAGAATTACTCATCTGCCACACTTAGTCTCAAAGATGTTCCTCCGGACAGCATGAAGAAAATAGCTGTGCAGGTAATTATCTACATGACACCATGGATAGGATATATTTATTATTATTTGTAGAAACATATGCTGGGATACCAGTTGGAACTGGGGATTCTTTAAAATGTGAAACAGGATTTGACTTTCACCCAGGTATTGAAGGTGGCGTAACTGAAATAGCATCCTCTTTTTGGAAGACAAAATAGTTAACTTATATGAAGAGGGATAGTTTTCATTTTTCTTCAGCAGGGGCTTTGAAAGAAGAAATTTGCAGCAAAAGACATAATTGCAAGTGGAAATTGGAATCTGGCAGATGATTTCAGGAAATCAAATTGAAGCTGATTAAACCTTTTAAAGATCAAACTTGAAATCCGTTGTGATGAAATTCTGATGATAAACTAGAATTTGTAGGAGACATTCTGTATTCATCTCTAAGGACCGTCTATACAGGCAGGACTTACTACAATGAAACTAAATGGATGCTTGTAAGTTATTATGATGCAGCAATCTATTTTCTTTTTATAACTTCAGTAATTTCAGTTGCATTTCTACAGACAGTGGATATTGGGAATTTGCATAGTTGTTGATACATGTTGCCTATGTAAACTCTACCTCTGGCAACGCAACAAAAAATAGTTTTCCTGTCATGCTTTAGATTTTCAGAAAAGGCTGTAGAAAATCATGTAAATTTAATACATCTGATCTGTAAATAAGCTAAAAAAATTACACGCACACATTACCATTTCTCAGAATCGTTTTGGCATAAAAATCTCAACATAATAGGTTCTGATACGTGTCCATTCACATAGCATGGTTAAAGGTTGAAATTTGCACACTTCATTTATTTATAATATTGAGAAATAGAGTATTTTAATATTCTTGTATCCTATAACTAGTGGGATAATGGTGGTAGGCAGAAAAACCTGTAACTCAAGACTGTAGCATTTTTTGAATATGGGAATCATACAGATGGATGAGTGACTACTTAGGCTGGGTAAGAGCATGAGGCATATGGGTGAGGAGGGGAAAAGGCTGCCCATCTCAACGCAGAGCTGCAGAGCTGAACAGTAACCCTGAGGCTTGAAACGTTGTCATCTCCAGCATCATTCTTAGTGAAATGGTTTGAATGCATTGTATGTCTTTACAGTTGTGTACCTTACTGCTGTTTGTCATCATTATACCTATCAAATCAATGACATGTTTTAACAAAATAACATTTATTGGAAATATCATTACAGTTTTCATATTAAAATCTTGAGCTTGTATGTGAATTTGCTCAGGTTTTCTTGTGAAGTAGTCACCAAAAGATGCTCAGAGAGCATATAATTTCTGTCTGCTAGCTGCGTGGGATTCTTATTTTGTGTATGATCTACTGGGAACTGTTACAAAAATCTCTGAATTTTATGCAATAAAAGTGCAAGCTATAATGATATCAACCAAGTGTCAATACTGTCAGTTGCACTGCCAGAAAATAATGATTGAGATAACTCAGTGAAGCAAGTGCTAAAAGCAAAGACCTTGTCTAGTCTGTTCTAGTAGATGAGCACTCAAGGTAAGTTTTTGTTTTTCAGATTTTTTTTTTCTCAGGAGGTCAAAGCTGATGAATATAATGAAAATTGAGTGCAATTGTACATGATCCAGAAGAGTAGTTTTAGTAATGTTCCTAGAATTAAAAGCAGTCAAGCATGACAAATATCGAAATAACAAAGGAGGAATTGAGGATTGCTGCTTATAAAATGTATGACATTGAGTATTCATGTTTTATTCCGATACCTTTGACAAATGGACAAATGTGCCAGCCTCAAAGACCTCAGGCAAACTACAGCCAAGTCCATCATCTCCCTCCTCAATCATCAGTAGCAAGACATCAGTCTAGAGAACAATTAATTGATTATCTGATGTTGAAAGTTGCCCACCAACCCCCCTATCCCCAGTCTCAGTGTTCCCCCAGACAAAGCCACGAATTGGCAAAGCAAGAGGTAAGGATAAAATCTAACTTGAATATATGACATCTGTCTGTCAGTGACAGTGGATTGCTATATTGTTTTCATTTATTACTGTTTCTCTGTAGATGGTGACAGAAATCATATAGGAATTTATCTCCAGCAGAAGACAATGTTATCTCAGTGCAGTTCTACTACTGAAATCACGTTCCTTCTAGTTTTGAGCTCTTTTTCCTTTTAATGTGAACATTTTTAGAGAAATGCGGTAGTTTCTTAACAGAATGTACCAGAAAGTTATGCTTGCATCTTTATACTGAGATAGAAATTTATTTCTTGACTGCATTTATTGATCACCAACTAATTATTGATGTAGTAACTGAAAAAAATACGAAGTAGCAGTACAACTTAGAGTACTTTGCATCTATTCATTGCTATCCAGAATGGTTCAAAAACCTGCAAATGTAGAAGTGTGCAGCCCTAAACAAAAAACAGGATTAAAAAAAAAAGTGTAAGCATCTGATGCATGCCTGATAATTATCAGTTTTATTTATGATAGACAGATGTGGGTAAGAAATTCTTATACAATTTAATGGCTCTTTCATTGTGGGCAACTTTCTGTTCTTGGACACAGGATGTTTCCTCTGTATAGTTTTGTTTTTTTGAGAAAATACTGAGAGCTATGTTTTCATTCTATGCTAGAATGAGAACGTCCACTTTTTGTGTAAAATACGTTTTCTAGTCAACTCTTCTGGCAAGAGAAAGGGGAGACAGTGTTGGCTATGTAGAACTTAAAGTGAAAGTAGGAACTAGGTTTGATTTTTAAAATTCAGCTAAAAGTAGCAAAGAAATAAGAACAACAAATTCTTTCATATGAACATATTTATTTGCTGGGGGCATTAAATTCATTTACACAATATCTAAATATCTCTGAATTTAAAGCCTACATGGACTACTATGATTATAATCATAGTGATATTGGAGTAAAACTTTTGTACACCGATACAAGATGCTGTTGTATTGGAATCTTGATCTGAATTAATATTATGAGATATACTCTCTTGAATTGTGATAAATGGGTTTTCTTGATTTTTTTTTTTGTTGTTTTGTTTTGTTTTAAAAGCTTTTGTTCAGCTGAATTCCTTAATAATAATTTCATTATGGTAGCTTTGGATGCAAATTTTCAGCCAGTTCTTCTAACTTTGGTTGTAACTATTTAGATTCGAGTGAGAATTGACAAGGATCCAGAACTTGGATTTAGTATATCGGGAGGAGTTGGTGGTAGAGGGAATCCATTCAGACCTGAAGATGATGTGAGTATTTTATACTAATGCATCTTAAAATCATTCTGATCAATTTTTTTTTCTAGTCTTTACTAAATTAAAAAATATGTATATCCCCCAAACCCAAGCCACTAAATTCCAGGGCTTGATGGGAGAAAATTGAGGACAAATTATTATGGAAAATCAAGGTGGTAGGTGACCACTGTGGTCACATGAAAACACAGAGGATTATTCTGGCTGAGTTTCTTGCACCGTTCTAGATATCAGTCAAGAGATTTGAGATAGTGAATTATGGAGTTTACAATTAGGAAGCCTCTTAGAACATGATTTAGCCTACAGCCTTATTTCTGGTGGTTGATAATTCATCTTGACATGTACATCTGACAGATTAAACAAAGGCAGATCAAAATTTGCCCTTCAGTATTCTTTTAAAGGCAATTCTCCTGCATTTAACATCAGAAAAGGGAAGGTAGTCACAAAAGCCAGTAGATCTGTAGAATAATATCACATTCTCTTCTACTTAGGATGGAAAATTGAGATGTCTTGAATTGCATCTGTTTCATACTACCACAATATTTATTAAATAAGTTGTTAAAAATGTTTTCCACCTCTTTTTCAAGGGTATATTTGTAACCAGAGTGCAACCAGAAGGACCAGCATCTAAGTTGTTGCAGCCTGGAGATAAAATAATTCAGGTACTGTAGTCATCTATTTAACTAACCTGTGTAATATAACAGTTCATTTTTAGTTTGCATCTTTTCTAAGAGCAGAATATTTAATTTTTATATAGATTGCCAGTATCTTTTCCAGAAGCATTCTTATATTCTGGGATGATGCCTTTAGCTTTCTTCCATCTAACATTAGGATAAGTGATACAGGCAGAAGCATTAATCAGTTGGAGTATTTTTCAAATTCTGGACATTTTTCACACTTTTAAAGACAAAACACAGGCCTAATGTTGTCATTCAAGATGGAACGTGAGTGTTTTCATTAGGCTTTACTATCATTCAGTTATTTAACTTGTGGTTATTCACATGCAGTTTTCTGAATAATGCGTTGTCTGAACACCAGCAGTTGCCCCTCACAACCCCTCTCCCCAGCTGCAACTCTTACATCCCCCTCCATCCTGCAGTTCTTGCCAGTCTTTTCTGCCTCTTCCCCAGCTGACAGGCTGGACATGTGCAAGTGCTGGCAGAAGCTACCTCTTGGCTGGCTGATATCTGTCTGGTCACAGCATGTACCTCCTGGCTGCCCCATCTGCTGCAGGCAAGCCAAGTAGATTGCTTCAGGAGCCATGGCTTCTGGGCTGCAGCTGTGCAGTTCTTTTCTGTAGGAAGTCTATACCTTTCAGACCTTTATTGTATCAGATTTGTTTGAAATTTTTCTGATGGGCTCATAAGTTATTTGGGAAGGGGTCAAGGAAATGGACAAAGGGATTATATAAGCCTTACTTTCTTCGGGAAACAGGCTCACAGGACATTTGAACAGTGCTGTAGCCACCCTTAAAGTTGCAGGGCTTGTTAAAAATTATTAATTATTCACCACATTACTGGTTTCAGAATGTTGATAGAGTTGACTCTGCTCCATTACAGTTTTCTAAAAAAAAAAAACAAAAACAAAAACAAAAAATAAAAAGCCAACAAAACACCCACTAGTATCTCAATTAAACCACAACATTGTGTGAACAGTTTTCTAAAACAAAGCCAAACTGAAAACCCCCTAACATCAAGTTGTTCCAACTAAAAGATAGCTTGTTTTTGAGCGTGGCAAATAGTTCTGTACTTGTTCTTCCTCATTGGGGCAGAGAAAGCTGGCTTTAAGTCTTAGTTCTCTTACTGATGTAGACAACTTTAAGGAAGGAGGGGAACCCTCCAACACTCCATACAGGAACAAGCAGCATGTTAAACCTTTGAAAATACTGGCAGCATGTTTGTTACATATTTATAGAGTGGAACGTGTGTGAAAGGGTGACTTCAGTTTTAATGGTTTATTCCTGTATTTATGGAATTTCATTTGTCTGTGTGACATAATTTGATAGATTTGTCTGTCCTTTTGTCATGCTGGCGTTCTGCTTGGGTTTTGCTTTTTGTTTAATGAGGAATTCATAGTTTGAAAAAGAGATGAAGTTGCATTTGCATGCTTATACAATTACAGGCTGTTTGATTTCTCATAACTAACAATATTTTTTTTGTATAACAGCACATTCTTTATACTCATAATCCCAGTGACAATATAATGACAGTCCTATTGTCTTGTTGCCACTTAGACATCTGCAGTTTTTGACTGAATATCATCTCTCCCAAAATGACTTTGCTGTGCTTGATTTTGCAATGTTCTCTGTAAAACATACATTAGACACGCATATTATAATGCGTGTCTAATACATATGTCTAAAAAATATTCTACGTGACTAGTGACTTGATAATTGCATGTAAGTCTTAAGATATTGTTGCATATTAGGTTAGGACTAGGACATTCTGTACAGATGATGATTTGGAAGGATTATTGCCACTTTTGCTCTCTGAACAGTCTATACGTAAAACTTTCTCTGCAATCCTAGACAGATTTAAAAATCACTGCCTTTACAACAAAGCTGGTAGCAACAGCAAGTGTTTGGTGATAGGATAAGCAGATGCAACTTGAAAATGGCACAGCTAAGGCGCAGAGCACACGACCGGTTCTCTCTGTTGCTATATAAGGGGCAGTAGCTCGTGGAGAAAGGTGGGATGCACAACTGGAAGCAGTAACAGTTTAAACTGGACAAATCTGTTATTCCGCAAGATTTTACCACCCAGACAGAATGTGAATTTGCAGTATTCACCCTGAGATGAACTGTAACCATGTTTTCCCTGTCTTTTGTAGGCCACTTAGGCTTGCTTGTGTTTGCCAAGCCAAACCTGTCCCAAGAATGACGTTGTTGCTTAGAGTCATAGGAAAATTCAAGCTGGGGGTGACCTCAGGAGGTCTCATGCCCAACCTCCTCCTCAAAGCCAGGGTCAACTAGTAGGTCAGAACAGGTTACTCTGGGATTTATCCAAGAAGGTCTTGGAAAACTTCCAAGGACAAAGACTGCATAACCTCTCAGAGCAGCCTGGTCCACTGCTAGACATGGCAGGGGGATGGGAATTTTCATTACATCCAGTCTGAACTGTGTTCCACAAAGGGGTAGGCTGTTGGGGGTGTGGAATTAGTGTGTCACGATATAATGGTTTTAGTGTTAGTAACAAGTATTCTAAGCTCTTTTCTACTTCCTATTACTACTGTCTCAACTCCCAAGCTATAGTAGCAAGCCTTGTGGTAAGTTGGATCAGTTCCTACCAGATTGCCTGTTTAAATTGTCTGGATTTAATTGCTGAATGATAACATGCTCTCCTTCTTGTGAAATCAGCCCCTCACATGAAAGGTGAGAGTTTCCCTAGATACATACTTCATAAGGAATTAAAGGTACTAGATTTTTGAGGATACAGAGGAACATAGAGGAGAACACCCAAAGCATGGGAAGAAATTGGAGTGCTAGAAAGGGGAGTAAAGGCCTACTAAAATGGCTCCCAATGCTATGAATGTTTTTTGTTGAAGGCTTCAATAGTTTTAATTTATCACAAATGCCATTTCTAGTATTTAAACTGGGATGTATCATTTGTACTGCATTTTCTTTTTTTGATGTGGCTGTATTAAGGCTGATGAATTTGATGTCTGATGTTAATGACTTAAAGTTCAGCTTTTTCTTTTGGTTATTTGCAAATATATTCAATACCTTCAGGGCAGAATTCTTCCAAGGCTAACACAATAGTTTAATTTCTTGTAGCATATAGGTACATGTTCAACTCACATCAACAATGTAATCTGCAAATCTGCAGTGTTTTATTGTCTGCATTCATATAAAATTTGATTATTTTAAACTTAGTTCAAGCTTAAACTAACATGAAATATGAGACAGTCATTTTCCATTTTTAAATTTTCTTTTTTAGGCTAATGGATACAGCTTCATCAATATTGATCATGGACAAGCAGTATCTTTGCTAAAGACCTTTCAGAATGCAGTGGAACTCATCATTGTACGAGAAGTTTCTTCATAAATACTGTGGATCGAGGGGAAAAGCCAACAGGATTCATTGAAAGACTTATGGGAAACTGAATATTTTGCCTAATTTTATACACGAAAGGAACTTGAAAAGAATTATTATCAGAATTTGTCCAGGAAATAAAATCCTGAACTTGTGGTTAAAGGGGGAAAAAACCACTGTATAGAACATTCAAGAAATAATTTTGGAAATTCATATGGTGAATAAACTTGGTTTTAAGCATTATAGCAACTAAGGTAAGGACCACTCCTCCAAGAACAAACCTGTGTTTGTTTTTTGTACAGATGGTGGGTTTATTTTTTGATAATTCATACAAGTTACTAAACTTTGTGCAAGGCTTTGCAAAGCCTTGGTTGTAGCCAATGGACAGATGGCAGGACTGTCTGTCCTGTAGCTGATTATTGCCTTTATTTTTATTCACCAGATATTAATGTGTTATGCTGAAACCACTTCTGTAGATGTGGACAGGAGATATGAAACGTTGGCTTTGCTATGTGCACATTGTGTAGATGAATGGGTAGATGGAAGGTGGTGCTGGTTGGACAGAATAAAGGTCAGGTGAAACAACTATCTGCTATCTAAATCTGGAATCAAGAAAGAAGAAAAAGTGTTTGGTTCTGGAGCGTATGTCTACCAATAGAAAATGCAATAAAAGCTTACGGTATTTTTTTAGGAAGACTGTAACTAGAAATTTGTGACATTCTACAGGATTTGTTCTTAATGTAGTCATTGAATATTCATTTGCCACGTGATTCATGTTTCATTGGGTTTTCTTGCATACAGAATTTTTTCAACTGTACTGTGGAAATGTGCGCAGAGGTTTTTCTCTGCCATGGAAATCCCCAATTTTGTGAAAATGGTGATACTTATCTTTTTATGAAGTACTCCATTTTAACCTTATAGATTTTAAAAATGAAACTGAAATGGCCAGTTTTTAAGGTTGTTGCTTGTAATATATATTTAAACACAAAGTAAATGATGCAGGAAAGGTTATGAAAGTCATCTCGATTTTGTTTGGCCTTTGCGTTGCTTTGTTAATCAAAAAGGAAACCATACGTATGGAGCTAGGTAACCAAAGCAAGCTTGTGAAACTTTGAACAGTGATGGAGAATTGCTGTGGTGAGATGAAGAGCAATGGGAGGGTGTACTTACAACCCACCAGTTCATAATGATGTTTCTTAAAGGGCTGTTCCTACAGGTAACATTAAATGTGAACTAGACACTTCAGAGTCATTAAAGGGTTTCTAACTATATTAATGTAATAGTGATTTACCACAGGCTGCCTTTGTTCCTTATTACTGTATAAAATATTCAATTACGCTTTTATTAATTTTGTTTACCAGAAACATTAACTTTATTTTTCTTTCTCCTTTGTAATTGAATAGAGACTGCATAATCTGCAGTGATAATTAATACGCAGTTGTTATAGACCAGAGAAAAGTGCCATAGAAGACCAATAACTGTTTTTAATCAGGGCTAATGATTAGCCTGTCATTGGAGCAATATTCAGTTATTGCAGTTCATTTTTAATTACATATAAGTTGGTAGTTTGAAATGGGTATAAGTTGCTTTTTTCAACCCCTGTGTACAAAAGTAAATGCTTTTAATAAAGCTAGCAAAAACACCAGCCTCCTGTAGCTTTGGGACAATAAACTGGAAGAGAGAGGAATTATACATAGCCAGTGGTAATAAACAGGCAGTACTTAAATAAGTGAACTCCAATATTATTGCACTTCTTTCAAAGATGTTAATTATTGCTTATTGTACTATGTATAGTTCTAATAATTTTAACTGAAACCCTTTAGCAACTCTTTGTATATTTTAATTCTTTTTAGCTGATTTTCGGTAATATTTACATAGGAAATGATTTTTTGATATATTAGCA